CTCCTCACTATCAGTTTTACACACCATCTAATTGGGTGAAGAGAAGGGCTGGGAAGAGGAAAACAAGCAGGGCAGATTGCTGTGTTCATCCTAGGAAATGGCTGGAGGTATGTATTCCATATTTTTGCTTCCGCTAATTGTTGTATTGATCTGAATGTGCTCTATGAGGTTTTGACATGTTTAAATCAATCGGTTCTTACAAAAAAAGGAAGCAAGGGTTTTAGAGGGGGATTCGGGTGGCGAAGAGCGGATGCCGGACGCGCGGGAAGGCAGAGACATTACCGGTATATAGCCGTTAATTAAGGCTATTGTTTGTGGGCGTGTTAAAGCTCTTTATAAGTGTGTATGTGATAAAAATAGGCATTTCAGGTTTGACTGCTCTGGTTACATACTCTGTAAGCATGTAATACTACGTACTTTTATGTGATACACTTAGATGCAATCATGCAATAGACCACACATGGACTGATGGACCGATTAAGTTGGTTGTTTTGTTGTTGGTTGGTATTAATGTTTTAGAAACACTACAACAATTGTCAACAAGTAGATCTCTTGTCCTAAATTTTGCAAGTGTTTTGAGTAATACGTTGAAGCATTAGATGGTGGAGAATTTACAGCAGAGGTTTGGAAAAATTTGAGAAGCAGTAGATGAAGTTTAAAGAGGAAGTTACTTACCTTGTCCTGCTTGGTTGTCGTTGGTGGAGGATGATGAAATGAGAAGAGACTGGCCTCTGAAATGGATATATTATAACCTCTCATAGTCTCATGCAGTGGCGGTTGTTGAAGGAATTAAGTCGTTTCGGTTTATGGCGGTTAAATACCCGTAGATAACGGTTCCGTTAATTTAAGACGTTTCCCTGGGTCGATAATGGCAGAAATGGATGGAAAAGGCCAAACGGATATGATTGGCTCGTATTAGATAAGCACAGATGTAGAAATGCAGAAATTATAACGTGTTGCATTAGTTCACCCACATGTGTATATTAATGCTTCTATCTAATAATAAAATAATACAAGAGTAATAATCTCTATCTCTTCTATCTACAATTAAATAAGCATGGATATTGTTAGGGGCATAACTGTCCTGAAAAAATGTTCGTGTCGCCTTTAATCTTTGCTCGATTGTACATGATGCATATTTGGCTATTAACCTATTAACCAAAGATTCTGTAATACAGGGTAAAGTTCACGTTGCAAAATTTGTTGTTAAACTCATGCTGTTTCTTTCTCATCTCTTATATCTCACCGGTTACAGGTTAATTATTAAGGAGTCATTTCATTTTCATTTACCCCAGTGCCGCAAAGGCTCCCACCTAGGGTGGGGTAAGGGGGGGGTCGGATTTACGTAGTCTTACCTATGTACTAAAGCACAGAGAGACTGTTGGGCAACCCTCCCTCTTCTGGGTTTCCGTTCAACAATGACCGGCAAGTAGTCATGGTTCTCAAAATGGGTAAATATCGCGCACCTTCTTCTAGTGAATTATATACTCCGTATTTCCTTAGCATTTCAATTCAGTTCATTCCTAAATTGGCATAGTTTCCCCCATGATAGTCTTGCTTTATTTCTGAAAATGTTGGCTGGATTTTATTAGCCCCATGTTTATATTCCAATTGCTTCATCTTCCTGTATGATTCATTGTATTGTTGGTTGCAATTTTTCTTCACATTCTTTTGTTTATATTCTTTGTTTATTTGTTTGTATCCTTTCTTTTGTTTTGCTTGTAATGTGTTTGCTGAAATGTCCATGTGAAGTGCTCTAGGTGGCTAGCTCACATTTACTTGCTGTTGGAGGCTGTTTTTAATTTCATTTCCCCCTTCTTTTAGTTTGCTAACTATGTGCTTGCTAGCATGTAAAAGTCTTCAATTATCGTATGTTAAATTCAATTATCGTATGTTAAATTTAGAGTTTAACAACTGGTGACACACTGTGACAGAGGGCTACCACTATACTTATTAGCAAGAAATGACGCAGATTAGTAATACCACTTGTTGGGATATATTATCCCGGTCTGTTACTGTTCAGGAGCCTAAGACATTATCCAGTACGAAGCCCGAGCAGTTAGGCCCAATTCGGCCCATCCAGCCCACTTTAACCTTTGGGCCTGTTTCGGCCCACATGGCCCATTAGGGAAGGCTTTCCCCTACTCCCTTTCCCCTATAAATATGGGGCTTTCCCACATTGTTTAGGGATCCCTTTTCTCTTAGCAGATGCTTCTTCCTTCTTACCCAACTCCTTACTTCTCTCTAGAATAGCTTGCAAGACTCCATTAATGGGAGCTTCATACTTGTACTATGTAATGGTGAGGAGAGTTCTAATGAGAATGAGAGGGCTTGGACATTAGCTAAAAAGTCCCGTGGTTTTCTCCCTTTCCGGGTTTCCACGTAAAAATAGTTTGTTCATACACATTTATACATATATTCACTATATCGTGTTGGATTAAACTCAACACCACTGCATATTGCTTACCTAATTAACCCGGTTTGTTGTATTTTAATGAAGTGAGTTTGGAATGAGGACTTAGCATGTATAAATATAATCTCTTTTTACTTGAAGGGCTTAATAATTTCTATATTTTTCAGGGGTTGTTGAAAGCTTGAAACTTGTTAATGGTCATTTTGTAGCTAAACTGTTAAGGTAGTATATTACTACGTATAAAAAGTGTAGCTTATATATGACAAAAATGCAGCTTCCTTTAAAAGAAGTTAAGAACTGTGCAGCTCATTTCTTAATTTAAACTATTTTGTATGTATAAAGAACAATACTGCTTATGTATCTTTGATAAAATAATATGAACATAAAACTTACTTAACTGCACCTTAGTTTTGAAGTATACCATTTTACTCATCTAGAATTCACTTTACTGCACCTCATTTTCTAGTATTGTGTTAAAAAAAAGGATTTGAAAGGGTTATTTGCCATATTTTCTTTACCATCACTATCTGGCAAAGAAATAATTTAAAGAGACACAATATGGGCTAGCACTTAAGTCGTATCTTACTATCTTTAACATAATAATACACTTTTTAAAGCCTTACATATAGTTTTGTTTATTTAAGAAAAAGAAACAGGGACGACATGTATATGATGGGTCAGTAAATTGTTTGCGCTTCTTTGTTATGAAGTAACAACAGTCTATGAATTTGACGCGATTTTAAAGCCTTACATATACACTTTTTAAAGCCTTACATATAGTTTTGTTTATTTAAGAAAAAGAAACAGGGACGACATATATATGATGGAATAAAGCAAAATGGCTCAGTAAATTGTTTGCGCTTCTTTGTTATGAAGTAACAGTCTATGAATTTGACGTGATTTTCACTACGGGTCATTCGGAAACAGTCTCTTTGAGCTTTAGTACATAGGTAAGACTGCGTACATCCAACCCCTCTTACCCCACTGTAGGTGGGAGCCCTTGCGGCATTGGGGTAATGATGATGATGATGAGGATCAAGTTGAACACCTAATTGATGTGAACAGAGGCATAATGTTATGATGTTTTTTAAGTTACTTTGGAATTCTGATATTGTATGTTTTTATGTGTTAGTCTCATACACTTTTGTCTTTTCCAACTATGGTACATACCTTCATTTTATTAACCCGAAATAGAATGTAGATGTAGTGATGCACTGATATGGCGGGGTTAAAGTGCATGTTTCTTAGTGTAAAAAAAAGGCATGTTTCTTATGAAGACTATTAATTGTTTGTAGAAAATACAGATAGTTGATTAGGAATATAATGTTAGTTTGTAGGTTTGGAGGAGATCTTAGTTGCTGGCCTTCTGGGGATGGGGTGGGATGTTGATGTGAATCATGTGATAAACATACTCTTATATAGCAGGAACCGGGAGCCAATTCTCGGGATTCCTATGAGCAAGATTTTTGTCCGAGATCAGATCTTACGGCCATGTGATGACTGATGAGAAAGGTCGCAAAAATGTAAAGAGCAGGCGCAGCTATAGGCTGAAACTCATTCATTGATTAAAGAAGGATATAAAAATGATCCTATTAGTCCATGTGTTTTCATTCAGCGATCCGAATCAGGATTCGCCATAATTGCAGTATATGTTGACGATTTGAATATAATCGGAACTCCAAATGAAATTGAAAATACTACAAAATATCTCATGAAAGAATTTGAAATGAAAGACCTTGGGAGAACAAAATTTTGTCTCGGCATTCAAATTGAACATTTGACAAATGGTATTTTTATCCACCAATCAAATTAGACCGAGAAAGTTTTGAAGCGATTTTACATGGATCAAGCACATCCGCTCAATTCTCCAATGGTGGTTCGATCTCTCAATGTGCATGATGATCCTTTCCGACCTTGTGAAGACGATGAAGAAATCCTTGGTCCCGAAATACCATATTTGAGTGCTATTGGAGCACATCATCCCCAAAGCAAGACCCTGAGCTGCACAAACAAAACACACAAACACAAAAACAAACACAGAAAATACCCCTTTTTTGGAATTTTTTTTGGGTTTTCTGAAAGCAAGCAAACAAACAAACAAAATGCAGAAGTAAGCTTGGGTTCCCTCCCAAGAAGCGCTATTTTTAACGTCGTTTGCCCGACGCAACCACCTCTCATCAAAAACTCAGTCAAAGACACTCCCGCTCAGAAAATTAGTCTTCCACAAATCAAATCTCCTATCAACAAATGCTTTGAGATGGCGTAAGACCTTAAATTCATGAAAAAAACTGCGCATCTGAGGGCCACTCGTAAAGCACGAGAATGAATCTAAGCCTTTATTAGGCCCTTTATCAATGAATGGGTCAAAATAAGTCTCTTTAGAAGGTGGGGGTTTCGTTTTGCGTCCCAATATATTAAAAGTAACATTTTTCACAATACGATATTGGAAATATGGAGTACTAAATATTCCATTGGTTTGTGTCAAAGCCAAAATTAGCCCTATAAGTAGGACTGGAGGGAGCATAGTGGTTCATATAGATCTTGAAGGTTTGGTTATCTTAGTAGAGTTCATTCCAAACCAGGTTGGGTTTAACATGCGTAAAGTGACAAAGGGAAATGTAACTATCAAAATTTGGGACGTCGGAGGGCAGCATAGGTTTCGTGCCATGTGGGAGCGTTACTGTCATGGTGTCTCTGCTATTGTGTAATGGGAAAACTGTCAAATAAGTCCTCCTACTATAACTAAAAAGTCAATTGAGCCACGTACTATTAATTCAGTCAATTAGATCCTCTAACTATTACAAATCGTTCAAATCATACTTTCACTCTTTTTTATATTTTCTATTTCCATTTCTTTATTTTTTCTTTTCGCGGCAGGCTTTCTTCGTCCATCTTCAACTTCTTCCCATCCTATTGCTTCAGATCCACTTGATCTGAGCTTCCTCTTCGTTTTTCTGTTTATACTTGGTATTATTTTTTTGTTCTTTTCTTTTACTTTATAACTATATCTCCCCTCCTCCCTGATTGGGCTCTAGCAACTTCTGGAAGCCGGCAGCGGACTCCGTCACTCTGGCAAAGGACTCCGATCCGGCAACATAAGAGAGATTTGGAGAGCTAGCTAGTTAGAGAGGTCTTTCGTGCCAAATAAGACAGAGAAACAAAAGGTAAAAGGGGGAAGAGGTCCTGAATCCAAAGAAGAGAAGGAAAAACGAAAGAGAAGTATTGAGGGAGAAGGGTAAGGAAAGAAAAGGGGGAAATTGGGGGCAGCGTGTGGTTGTTGAGATGGACCGCAAACTCACCGGAAAACATGGAGAGGAAGAAGAAACTGACAGAGAGAAGGGAAAAGGGAAGAAAGACCGAAAGAATATAAGAAATTTGTAGGTGGGACTGGTACAATCGTATAAGGAGCCCTGTACGCATGTCGCGATTTGGGGTGGTTCCTGACGAAATTTTTTGAGAAAAAAAAAGTCAATTAAGTCTTTCTATAGGAGATCCTGTACGGATGTCGCGATTTGGGGTGGTTCCCGACGAAATTTTTTGAGCATCTTATTCATCTAGTCTAGTTTATTCATACCAAATTTCAGCTAACAATTCGATCGGGAACACATTCAAATTAACTTGAGAACGCAAAAATGCGCAACTATCTTCATGAATTAATTTGAATGTGTTCCCGATTGAATTTTTAGCTGAAATTTTGTATGAGTAACTAGACTTGATGAATAAGATACTCAAAAAAATTCATCAAAAAATTCCATCGAAAACTACCCCAAATCACGATGGCCGTACAGAATCTCTTATGGAAGGACTTAATTGACTTTTTTATGAAAGTACGATGACCTATTTGACAGTTTTCCCGAAAAGAAAAGAAAAGAAAAGAGAAAGAAAGAAAAAAGGAAAAGAAAAAAGAACAATAAAAAATAAGTTCCACGTAGATGTCCAGACAAGTAGTTACCGGCAAGAATTATCATCTACCGGCTAAAAAGTAAAATTGAAGGTTCTAAAAAGTAAAATTGAAGGTTTTTTATATATAAGGGATGTAATTGAATGAATTGATAGTAGAGAGACTTAATTGACTTTTCAGTTATAGTAGGAGGACTTATTTAACAGTTTCCCTTGTGTAATTTCTTTACTTCTCTTCACCATGTGGGCGTCTTTTAATTTAAACACTTTCTACTTTTTGTCGATATAATATGTAATTATGTATATTGTGCCACTGGTTTATTTAACCATTTATTTGAGTACTTGTGGGGAACATACTATCCTGTCAATGGGATTGATAAAATGATTGCGTTAAGTCATTCCATAATGACTAAATATCAATATACAAATTCATGTATAAGGTCTTGAGCTACACCTTTTATTTGGTTGATTTTCAGCACTGAACCCAAATCTTAATAGACCGCAAAACATGTTCATAAATGGTGGTTTACCTAAATTTCTTGTTCATAACTTGTTTATAAGATGAGGACTAAAATGTTTTTTTCGCCTCCCTCTAAATATTGAGTTTGTTTAGGGGACTTTGGCTGTACTCTTTTTTGTAGGGTAGCTAATAATAGTATATACAATTTGGCAGTTATGTGGTTGATGCCGCCGATCGAGATAGTGTTCCCATATCCCGGACTGAACTCCATGATCTCTTGACAAAGCCTTCACTGACCAGTATCCCGTTACTTGTACTTGGAAACAAAATAGACAAACCAGAAGCTCTTACCAAGCAGTATCTCATGGACCAATTGTAAGCATTTGAGCATTAGTCTTGCAAGTTAGTTTCCCTATTATAATTATTATTCATGACATCTGTTCTTTAAATTGTTTGATATTATCAGGGGTCTTCAAACAATCAAGGATAGAGAGGTCTGCTGTTATATGATCTCTTGTACAAATTCTGTAAACATTGATGTTGTTATTGATTGGCTTATTAAGCATGCCAAGACAACAAAGTGAAGCTTTTGGCCAAAGTAACATGTAAAGCTGGTATTCTTCACTATTTTCATAAAATAAATAAAATATGAAATAAATATCACAATGATTGGCTTTTCAACAATAAATACACACAAATAGAACGTGGATCATCTACACTGTGTAGGACTGTAGGTAGCAAAAAACAGACAGAAATAAAAATGTGAGGAAAAAGTTGAGATGGCCAGTTGCCCTAGAAAGAAGAGGCTCTCTGTTTCCAAACAATAGTTGCTTGATCTTCTATTTCTCTAAGGTTATGTTTCGTGTGATGGATGAGTGTTGTAATTTTTACCCATTAAAACATTTTTTTAAATATTTTACAAATTTGTTTTATCTTGGTTAGTCTTCATTGTCGGAGGTGTTCATATTGCGACCTCTGATCTTGGCAAGTAGGTTTAGGGTAGTGCTGGACTCGTTCGGGCCGCCCGCCCCGGAACCGGCCCGCTACTGTGCGGGCCCGGCCCGGCCCGGTTTTCCGGGTTCGGGCCGGAGGCCCGGGGGTCGGGCGGGTCCGGGCTCGGTTCATTGTTTTGGAGGCCCGGCCCGGGTCTGGGCCCAATTCAATTTTTTTTTCATTTCAAATGGGCTATGGGCTTGGGCTACCTGTTTAGGACGATTTGGGGGGGTTTGGGGGGTGGGGGGTGAGGGGGGGGGAGATAAGAAAGGAAAAAAAAAAAGGAAAACCGGGTGGCCCGGAACCGGGAACCACCGGTCCGGGCTCGGGCCTAGGTCTAGGTGAACCGGGGCCCGGCCGGTTCAAGGCCCGAACCGGGCCCGGCCCGGCCCTAGGCCAACACTAGTTTAGGGGTTGTCTACTTTTCTTTTCTATCAAGTCCTAATTGGATTGGATTGGATTGGGATGTCTATATGTATTAATATGATGTCTATTTGAATTATTAAGGGAAAATGGAAATTAATAATCCAACCTTTTAGCGGTCTTCTTTCAATAATCCCACCTTTTGATTATTCATGAATAATCCAACCTTTCCACCTCATCTTCATTCATTGGTCCCTGACCGGTTGATGACCTACTATTCCAAGTTATTTTCTTATCTTTGCAAAATATTATTTTCTTCAAAGATGAGATTTATAGTATAATGATTTGCAAAGATAAGAAAATAGCCTGGAATAGCAGGTCATCAACCGGTTAGGGACCAGTGAATGAAGAAGAGGTGCAAAGGTTGGATTATTTATGAATAATCAAAAGGTGGGATTATTGAAAGAAGACCGCTAAAAGGTTGGATTATTAGTTTCCATTTTCCCATTTATTAAATGATATGTTGTGTATTTGTATACGAGTTTGTTTATCTCGTGTGCTGAATAAATAATCTGAGTTGAATGAAATAATAAATTTAATAATATTATTGAGCTATATTATGAAGGTTTAAATATGTGCCAAGTCCGTGCAAAAGCGCAAGTGTGACAAAATTTGTTTTAAATTTCTGCAATTTTTTATTTTTATTTTTTATCGTTGTAGTATGCACTATTTTGTTTTCAATCTGTGGATAACTACGTAAATCCACTAAATATATTTAATTTTATTCTTTTATAATTTTTTTGAAGCTAATATGATATTTAAAATAATATAAAACAAATTATTCACATTTTTAAAATGTGAATTATAAATGTGAATAAAAAATCTTCTAAAAATCATCACAAATAATTATTGGAAACCTATTAATCAAAGTTGTTTCGTTGTCAAGAAAAGTTTTTTGTCATCGGTGAATGACTAAAAAAATCAATATAAATTCGAAGAATGAAACACCAAAAAAATAATTTTGCAAAGATGTAAAACAATATTACTATATATTTTTAAGGATTGAAATTTGAGATATATTTCAACATATTTTTAATGAACAATTCCATATACAAATATTATAATCTTGGTTCACAACATAATGCTATTCTTTTCATTATGAGGCTCTTTATCTTCTATGTCAAATTTCAATTTAATATTTTTGTCAGAGCATCTTAACCGAGCTTTGTCGTATAAAATTAATTAGCAAAATTCAATTAGAGCTCGAGTTGATCTCAATCTGAGCTTGATTCAAACCAAAATTATTAAGCTCGTTTAAACACAAGCTCGAGTTTGAGTATGTGTGTTTTTACTTTTTATCAAGCTCACGCTTAATTTTTTTTTTCCGGCTCATTTGCTTAAAAGTTGGGCAACACACAAATTACGTATGACTAGTGTAAACCCCGGGGCAATGCCCCGGTAGTGGCGACTCGATTTGGTATGAGTTAAAATGAAAAATAGTACTACGTATCACGTAATAGATATTGTGAAGGATACAAATTTTAATACTGCGTAAATGCATATTTACTATGATCTAAACCACAAACTATAATAAATTTCTATTTATTTAATGACTATATATTAATTTATCCATCATCATATATTATATATGTACTCTTTAGTCTATATCATGATTTTTCATTGAATTGCGGTAGCATTGCGATTGTGGCTATTGCGGCCGTTTTAATGTGTATTGCAACCGAGCGTTGTTATTTAATTTTATAGTTGAATGAAATAAGAAAATTATTAGTGTTGATGTCTTGATACAATCCTATATGGCCCAAAAGACATTACAGTTTCGTTGGGTTACGTAGTAGATTTTTCCCGTGAATTGAAACTTCACCTCCATTTAGGCCTGGCCTCGGGCCGGTTGGGGCCCGGTTCGGGCCTGGGCCCGGCCGAGCCTCGGGCCAGAAAAGTGAGGCCCGGGCCCGGACCGCCGGTGGGCGGTTCCGGTTCCGGGCCAAACCGGGCCGGGCCTAAACTCACTTTTCTTATGAACTTTACCACACCTCTTACAACAATGTTACTGAGACGAAGATAGCAACAAATATTCACACCAGCTTTAGAACAGGCGTCAGGCCCTAAAACGCTTAAATCATCACGTTTTTAGACTTTGAGAATAGTTCATTGAGTTACTTACACAGTACACTAAAAAGAATATAAGAACCGTTATTCTCATAAGTTTACAGGTAAAGCGTCTTTTTCTGGGTTTACTACATACTAAATAAGGTGGAGACTGGAGAATACTTTAGATCTACTTTTTTTAAAGAATACGTGGTACTTTAGATCTTTTTCTGGGTTTAGTACATAAAAAAGAATATCTTACGCCTGTCTCAATCTAACAGAGCGCTTGAACACAACTCCCTAGTCCCTACAAGGCTACAAGCCTACAATAGTAGGGACTCTAGGGAGCATACTACAGAGTCACTGAGTAAACATGAATGCAACAGGACCAAGCATGAACAAAAAGGCCTCCTTTGTCTTCCTTTAAGAAACAGGTTTTGAAGAAAACATGGAAGTGATTGAGAGCTTGTAATTCTAAATAAGAGCTAAATAACAGCTCTTGAAAATAATATCATGCAAACCATACTAAAGATGACAAATACATGTCACAGTATCAAGATATTATAATAGCCACAAAGTTTAAGCTGAAGAATCATCATTGCCTGTCTTCACCTCTTCCTTCATTGGTGATGCTGATGCTGGTGCAGGTGATGGAGACCCCCCTTCTTGACCCATTTCTATCCTCAGATCATTTATGCTTTGCTCCAATTCATCAATCCGGGTGCCCATCTCATCAAGTGCAACATTGTCAAGGACAGCGCTTACTTTATATGAAACTAAATTCATCATATGATGCTTTTGGTCTAGCCACTAACTAATGTTAAAACATAGTTAAAACATAGCCAGTCAACGAAAGATTTGGCACCACTTCTGTGAATGTTTTTCATTTCTTTCAAATGAAGGCTTAATTTATGATAGCAGCATTAGGAATGCATGGAATAGTGGTTGATGAAATATATGGTAGGGATAGAAACATGCAAAGTAAATAAATCAATAAAATCAATGAAAAGGATATTCTTTGATATGATAGAATCTGACATGGTCTGAAACCTACTTTGCTGCATACAAAAAGAAACTCATTCAATAAAAAACATACTCCCTCCGTCCCGTAAAGATGTTCCCGGTTTGACCTACACACATATTTAGGAAATAAATTTGACTTTACTGTTTAGACACTGTTTGGCACTGTTTAGACACTGTTTGGCACTGTTTTGCACTGTTTGACACTGTTTTGATGTAGGATAACTTTCCATTTAGGGAAAGGGGAACTTCTTTTTGGAACATCCAAAAGAGGAAAGTGGGAACATCTTTTCGGGACGGAGGGAGTATATATTAGTAAAATATCTAAAATGTAAAACTAAGCAAAGGGAATAGCCTGGAGGAACAAACAAACTCACCATTTGCTGAAGAAGGCTTTGTACCTGCAATGGGTAAGAAAAGAAAGAGACAAAAAATGAAAAAACAGGTCAACAGGGTGAGTTATAGGTGATGAATACACTCTTACAATCAAAAGATCAAGTATACAACACATTGATGGCATTTCAAATATAAAAAATTAACCACCATGTTTCTATCATAGAAGTTATGGGTGAAAAACATATATGATGTATAGAAATATCTAATATTCTGAAGTTCTTAGACTTAAGATGTTTGTAATTGGACTGCAAGCTTCTTTCTTGGTCTAATTTGATGGTCTGATCTAATCTGATATGGTTTGTCTAAGTCCAGGCTGAACTGGTCTAATGGATGTCTATTCTATGTGTATTTTACAACTGCCAAGTGGTTATATGAACTAGTGTAGTAGATGTCAATTCTATGTGTATTTTACAACGGTTGAAGTCGAGTCTAGTCTGTTTAAGTCTGGTCTCGGATTGAAATCAGTTCGATTATAAACATACTTAAAAGTTATAAGTTACAAAAAATAAGACATCAACATAGAACTAGCATATCACTAATTCTCTAATCATAATCAGAAAACAATAGCATCACCAACATGATCACTGTTTCCAGGAAAGATTTCTATTTAGATGCTTATACTCCACATTTCTTAAGGAGCACAAGGTATTGAAATTCATTTATGAAACCTTTGTAGTCAAGATAAGTACATACTCCGTATTAGATTCATTTGATACTGCTGATACTACAATACAAACATCCAAACAAATTTGTTCCATACTTCATAATATTGTTTAAACGGAGTGAAAAGCAAATATTTTTTAATGAAAACTTACAAATTGAGTCATATCAGCAGTGCTCTCTTTTGAGTTTTCTCCACTATGTCCATCCTGCCAAATACACATTTAATCAGTTTACCAAAAGACTTTAAGAGGATGTGA